TTTTTGTAATCAAACTGCAAATGAGGTACTGTAGCTAGTAATGTGGGTTGTTTTTGTTTGTTTTGTGGTGGTTGGTTTTGGGTTTTCAGTTGTTTGATGTTTTTGGTTTTCTTTTAACATTAAATACTAAGTTGCACATCCTAATTTCAGTAGCTGCAGTGTCCACTGTGTGCACCCTGGAGCTCATTGAACCATTCTGTGAACAGATTTAGCTCACTGGAAAAACAGAAATCTATCCCCATTTCCTTTTCCTCTTACTCCTCCCCCTCACCTTTTTCTTTTTTTTCCTTTTTTTTTTTTCTTTAACTGAGTTTGTTTCCTGTCAGATTAGTGGGTTAAATTGGCTTATGGGGAGGACTGAGAAGTGCCAGATTTGGTGCAAGATAAGCCTCTAGGAGCAGGAAAAGACCTTTAAGGTCAGCAGGAGCAGGGAGCGGGGAGGGAAGAGTGGCAAGAGGTTAGATTGTTGCATGGATGGACGGCCTTCGGGTTCAGAATAAATGCAGAGCGACTTGCTGCTCTTTGAGAGGCTATTGTTTAACACAGTGGATTTTTTTGTTTGTTTTAGCATTTGGTCTGCAAAAAAATATTATCTTTACGAACATCCTAAAATGAAGTTTGGTGGACACTTGCAGCTGTCCTTTAGCCTGGCTGGGCTTCAGGATGCTATCCCTCGTATCTGGATTTAATTGTGGATAATTTCAGAGGGAAAACCATTTTCTTACTTTGTGAAACCCAGCATACTGGTGGCATCTGGTCATTGTACGGAGCAATCAATCAATCACTAGATAAAAAGAGGCAGAAATGAGAGATACAGAAAATAAATGATCTAAGCAGAATTGCCACCAAATAACTCCCTCCCCCCAAGAATTTAATGCCTGCCCCAGCAGTTGTTTACAGCCCCAGCTAGAAACGGCAGAGAAGTGCTGAGGAGGCACATGCTGGGAACCTGTTCTCTTGACTCCCTGGACATATTAATAAAAAGCAATGCACACTGAATATGAGAGATCAGACCCCTGGAACCAGCCTGAATTCCAAACTTCCTCTCTTTTGTGAAGCTGGGGGAGTGTTGCAAGCACTCCCTGACACTGTCAAAGAAATGCTATTTTTCTCTGGGATGGTCTTGCTAATACAGTTTATATTTGTTTTATTTTGGGATTTGTTTCACACTAAGCAATGCTTTTCAGGAACCTGTGATCGTGGGTTTTTCACTCAATTTTTTTTTTTTTTTTTTTGTAGTTATTACTGTCCCAAAGTCCACAGCTTTTTGGGCGAAGCTGCTGCTTGTAAGGAGATGCATAAGATGTTACACTGTGAGCTAAAATATTAAGAAATAATTGGAAGTCTTTTTTTTTAAAAAAAAAAAAAAAGAAAAGAAAAAAAAATCTTAAATGGCACTGTCAAAAAAAAAAAAAGAAAAAAGACAAATACCAAACTGTCTGAAGCCACTGTATTGACTTCTGGTAAAAATAACAGCAAAGTCTGCAGCAGTTGAAAGAGGGAAAGGGGTAAAAGCATGGTGCTTTTAAGTTTTCTTTCTTCATTGGCAGTGTGCCCATACAACCCCATTCAGGGTTATAGGAATGGTTCACTGACTTGAAATTCTGGCTGCTTTTAATTGTGGGAGTTTTATTTGTTTAAGTAATGTGAGGAAAATACTGAGTTAGGATTCTTCATGTTAAATCATCGACTTTACAGGCATTTTTTGTCCAGCTCTTCATCAGAGTTGAGAAAGACTCTTAAGGGTTTTAAACTTTTTTATTTCCTTATTCTTTTCTGGTTTCCAAATGCCAATTTTTTCAGTTGTTACTGCACCCACAGAGAATCTGTGAGCAGACTGACAGTGTTGTACACATTCCCGTAGTAAATCAAAGTACACCGAATCTATCTGTAGCATTGATAAGCTGTTAAGGTGCATTAAAGGAGGGTGCTGTGCAAGTCATTTGGACTGTGTTGTTTTTTTTTTTTAATTTCTGCTGCTGTAAGAAGTGCTTGGGGAAAAAAGCATTCAGAAAATGCTTAATGGTTTATGAAAGCATGATAATTGTACCATAACTTCAGCTTGTAAAGATACTTTATAAAAACCTCTTCTAGGTATGCTTTATTTGGAAGTAAAAATTCTGTTGTTAGAAGCGAAATGACAAAAAATGGAGACATTTTAGGCTACTAGTAACGTCCTGTCTTAGGTTGTACTTCAAGTGAGTACTTCTTTCTTTTGAAGTAAAGCAGAAGATGCAACATTACGTGCATATCAGATATCAGCCTCTTGGTGTTTATTTTATAAACTGAGACTTGGAAGGGAAAAGGTCTTGCTGTGAACTTACCTGTATGTTCGTTAAGTTGTAATTAAACAAAAAAGCAGTAACATCTGTGCCATATTCTGTATTAGAGAAAAGTTGAGGCTTGTGTTTATCTGCTTGAGGTTCCCTTTGTGATAAGTAGAAGCCTGTTTTGTAATAATGGCCTGATTTTGAAACAGTTAACTGTGTTAACTGTTAAATGCTTTATTTGGGGACAAAATACTTACCTTTTACCAAGATTTCCCTCATGGCTGTTGAGGAGGTATGGGTGGGCCTACAGATGGATTAATGGCACATGCAAAATCTGTTGTTTCAAGCAGTGATGTCATCTTCTGGGCGTGTTCTGAATTTTGGTGTGTCTTCACTGTGGCAGATTCCTTTACTGCTGTGCAGACATTTCAGAATGGAGGGCTTGCCCGAAATAGTGCTGGATGGTTTATTGGTGTAGAACTACTGTCTTCCCTGTCAAGTGTTTGTCTTAACACTTAACCATGCTTAAAACATCTTTGGAAGAGCCACATGTGCTAGAGCTGTGCAATGGATAAACAAAAATAGCCAAAAAATTAGCCTTTCTCTAACCAGTGGAACTGTATTGATACTTTTCACTGCTGGAAAAAAACAAGTAACTGAATCTCTCTGTCAGACTAATGCTAGAAATTTCTTGGTGCATTATGAACAGTTGTTGCTGGGTAGACTTGGCTGGTCAGGTACTTGAGCTCTTTCAAGCAAAGATGCGTGTGTTCTTTGACGTGGTTTTGTTACAAAATAATTGGGAATATTTCTTTTAATTTTTAATTTAGTTTAGCAGTGCTGCAGAAATGCTGTTCTACATTATACTGTGTATGAGTGAGCTCCAGCATATCTGAGTCATAGAGAGTGTGGTTGGAAAGGACCTCTTGAGGTAGTCTAGTCCAACTTTTTGTAGAAGGCAGGACCTTGGGTTAAGTTATTCAGTGCCCTGTAAAGCCAAGTCTTAGCTGTTTCCAGCATGGGGAACTTGACCACTTCTCAGGCTTCCCTGTTTAATTCTTCTTGTACTGAGTGACTTATCCTTATATCAAATTAAATTTCCCTTAACACATTTCAAGCCTGTTGCTTCTTGTCCTGTCTTCAGTTATCCTTGGGAGAAGAACACCTCTTTCTTCTTTTCTGTATGGACTCGGCTTTTGTTCTTGTGCTCTGTTAAAAGTCTGTGAAGATGACGTTGTCAGCCTACAGGGGAAAACATCTAAGCAGCTGCCAGACATAGGATTTAGATGCCAAAACAGAAGTGCATAGTGCTATTTTGTGTGTAAGAGTGTTCCAGTCACTGCACGGGCCAGGCAGTGGTGGCACAGCCATTAGAGGTGACCCATTACCAACTGCTGTATGAAACAGCAGTTAAAAGTTTGTGGGGAATATCCTGCAGTACCTAAGCTGGCTCAAATGCCAGTGTTTGCACAACTGATTCTCTCTCTGGATGTCTACTCGAGATCCACTGAAGATATTGGTCTGTTGTCTGTTGATGTCACTGATGAAGATGCTAAAGAGTATCGGTCCTAGCACTGACCCCCCATGGGACACCATTTATTGCTGGTCTCCATACAGACACTGAGCCATTGACCACCACTCTCTGTACTCGATCCTACAGCCAATAAATTTTGGTGGTAGGTAGGTAGTTGGACTAGATGATCTTAGAAATCTTTTCCAATCTTAATGATTATGTGTATCTATCACGTCAACACATTCTCTGGTTGGACATGAGGGCAGTGGATATGACTTAGTCAAATGTCACTTGGCTCTCTTTAACATGTAATTGAGTGGGACTGTCCCTGTGGTGAAGATTCCCTCTTTAATTGCATGACACAGCCAAGTGAGTGTTAGAGAGCTGATAAGTATCAACCAAGAAATTGCTTTCTTTGCTGTAAAGAGTTCATGAGCAGAAGAATAAAACGTGTTTTGTAACACTTATATATAAAATACAAGAATGCGTTTGGAAATGGACAGAGATTTTGTAAAATATTCTGTAAGCCCAATTGATCTCATTTAATGTATATCTTCTAAAATAAATGGTTAGTACAAGCAGTGTCTATTTCCCAAAAAATAAATCGTCTAACTTAACTTGACAGTCGTTTTTATTTAAGAGTTAAATTCATCACTTTGGTCCTGGGTTACAAATTAACTATTGTATGTAATTCATAGGAATCAATATTAAAATTTTCATTACATTAAAATCAGTGGTGAGCTTCTGTTGATTTCAGTTGATCCAAGATCGTGTTGCTACTATGTAATATCAGACTACATGCTAGTATTTATTTCACTTGTTCTTGTGTTAATGATTTCCTTTTCTGTGAATGAAAATACAGATCTGTACTTCCCATTTCATTTTAAAAGATTTTTCACTTACAGCTGTCCTAGAATTTTTAAGGTTGCAGCACTTCTCTGCCTTCTTAGATCAATAGTATTCAACATAGATGAGGAAAATATTTCAATTTTGTTCATGCTGAAAAGAAGAACACATTGCTTGTTCAGTGTTGAACAGTGTTTTCAGTGTATCCAGGACTAAAATTTGTAGTATTGTCTGCTAGCTCATGCAGAGGAAGCTGTTACTCAACCTGTATATATTTTAGAATAATAGACAGAATAATTTGTCCCGTTGATTATGAATGTAAATATTGTTTTTAAGACAGTGTTAACCAAGAGTGTTTTTCCTATTTGCAGAGCAAGCTTTACATGGAAGGATTTAGAAGCCTAAAAGAAGGAGAACCAGTGGAATTTACTTATAAGAAATCTTCCAAAGGCCTTGAATCAATACGGGTAACAGGCCCTGGTGGGAGCCCCTGTTTAGGAAGTGAAAGACGACCCAAAGGGAAGACAGTACAAAAAAGAAAACCAAAGGGAGATAGGTAAATACCTTACTTTGTTATTTTACCCTTCTTTTTTTCTCTTTTTTTGCAAGTTTTTCTTGAAGTTTGATATTTTCAGTGTTTACTGATTTGTGAAAGGAAGCTCTTCTGTGTAAATGTGCTTTTATATGTAGCATAGTAACTTGATTAAGGCTATTAAGCTGTACCTGTACAACTACATAAATCACTCTCGTTATTGGTTTTTGTTGAGAGGGTTTTATTGAACTAGAAGAAGTCTGCAAATGAATGTAATACTGCTTTGAAAATACTGCAGATGGAGTGTGAAGACAGGTTGATCCGAATACAGGTGAAGTAATGTCATGTTTAGTTGAGAACTGTGCCTGCTAAAGAGACTGTGTGCAGTGACATTTTAAATTGTGCATCAGTAGTTCTATAGAGAAGGGTTGAAACTAATATTGGTGAGGTGTGTATTACTTGGTTAAGTAATTCACATTACTCAGTGAAGAGGGTACCTAACATTTCTGAAAGTCAGAAAGGTTAGTGTCTGAAGTAGTATTTGTAATAATATTTTACAGGTTAATGTTTAATCTGTTTATGTTTAATCCAGAGATGCAGTTATGCAAGTGCAGCAGTCTGACTTCTACTGTTTTACTTTACTCTCTGCATCTGATGGCATGACAAAGTTCTGTAATTCTCTTCACTATGAGGCTACCTGCACTTTATTTCCTAAGGACAGCCTTTCCTCCCAAAAGCACTTCTATTTTACATGACTCTCAGTTTTACCTGAATCTCCTTTTTCCTCATGACGTTGCCATTGCTGAGATTAAGGGAAAAGCACAGCTTGTGAATATGCAGCCCATTCAGAGCATCAACAGCCAAGTTTTCCCTGCAGTAAATGATTTACAGCATGACAGAGAAATGGCTCTCCTCCATTGCAAATTCTGGAACTAAGAATACCTTTTGAAAACTATGGTCACCCAGAAAGGAGGCATTGCCTAACCTCTAGAAAATAGGGATGAAACTATTTACTGGATACAGATGAACACTGCTTGTCCTCACCCTCTGTTCAGAAGGCTTCCTCTTTCTTCTTCTTTTCCTTTTTTCTTTTTTCTTTTTTTCTTCTCATTCTCTTCTTTTTGTTCTCATTTTTTCTTGTTCTCATTTTCTTTTTTTTTTTTCTCATTCTCTTTTTTTTTTTTTTTTTTCAGTTAAGGACTGGAGTCAATATGATAGTTGTCCCTCTATCACTTCCTTTGTGAAATCTGAGGACCATGAACAAAATTTATTGTTGCTGTAACAGATCAGAGTCCATAACCACAACAAGGGTGGACTTTGTAAGCAGGATAAAGCTTCCTATTTGGTTGGTCACCGTTTCTGACCTCTCAGTGTTGTGTTGCATGCAGTGGCTGTGACAAATCTTTTTTTTTTTTCTTTTTTTTTTTTTAAGGTATGCTTCCAGTATTCATAGCATTATTATCATTGTTAATGTATTGTAATGTGGCAACAAACAAAGGCTACAGTCATTGTGCTTTTCTTCTGTTTATTGAATATCTCTGTATGAAGAAAGACAATCATTGCTTCAGAAACCTTAAAGTCTAAATTGACAGGTCATAAATAGACCAGGAAAATTAATATATATTTAAGGAGAGAGGGATTTGAACAAATGTAAATCTCTGTAGTGCACAGGGTAGTCAATGCAGAGGAAGTGATACTTTTAGAATGTAACTCATCCTAGGAAAGCATCTGAAATATATGGGATGAGCCTTGCCTTGTGGTTGTCATGGACTTCAGAACAAGCCTAGCTCCAACACTGTTGATATTTCTTTTGCAAGTCTCTAAAGATAAGTAAGATGAATCCTACTTTTTTCGTTTTTTCAAATCTAAAGCATAGTCAAAATTGGGCAGATATATCTTGGAAAACATTGTTGATGTTCACCATACTATAAAGAAGGAAAAATTCAGATTTACACTGAGTTAATTTGAATATGTGAACATAGGCAAAAGCCCACCTCTACCTTCAAATTCTTACTTTCAAGTGAGTAAGACTCAAAAAAAGCCTGAACTTTGAACTTCCTGAAGTAGTACTGATGTTATCTTTTGATGATGAACAGTGTCTCTCTTGAAGGAACATGATTTTGTTTAAACAGCTAGCCAATGGAAAAGTGCATCTCCAGTATGCATAGTGGAAGATTTCTTATAAGATTTCCATTCTGCTGTGAAAACTGCCTCTGTTTATGAAAGTTATTTCCATGTTCTGGTGTTTGTCTCTTTTCCATACTACCGGTATAACAGCATGAGGGGCCAGCCTCACTGCAGATTTTGAGACTTCTGTTTAAATCGATCCCATGGCTGTTAGTGATAGGGGCAGGATTCAGGGCAGAAGGAAAGAATGGCAAAGGGAAGAGCAAGCAAAACATGAAGGGAGAGGTGAAAAAAGCCGTGGTGCTGAGGTGACCAGATGTTGCTGGTTTGTAGATTTTTGTGGTATTTCCCCAATAGACTTGGTCTCTCAGTAATTTGCTGAATATTGTTGCTGTGGGGACATTGCTTTGATAATAATTCCCCCTCAACATTACTGTTGGCCACGTTAAGTTTATAACAAGGTGAAGGAAAGGTCTGTATATAAAGCTCATAGTTGTACAGGCTACTTTGGCACATTTCTTAGCCAGCATGCTAATACGCAGTAGTTTGGGGAAGAGAAAGTCTTTTGTAGTCTGCATGAAATGAAACTGTGGCCATAGGCAGCTGGCAGGCTTTAGGTTCCCAGACCTTACTTTAAGCTTTTGTAATATCTATGTGTGTTACATGCTGTTTTTTTTTGTTTGTTTGTTTTTTGTTTGTTTGTTTGTTTGTTTCATAAGAGTAATTTGGAATAGAGTGGAGGCATCTGAATGATGCTCTGCTGGGATTTAAGTCTTACAGGTGCATAAATGTGAAGGGGCAGCTCTTGGCGTTTGACTACCTAAGACACCCAGGGATTGAACAGGCTGCACAACAGGATGCAGTTCCTTTCCTAGGAGCCCTTATCATTTGCTGACCACATGTTTTGCTTGGCATTAGTAGTGATCTGAGTCAGAAGTACTTTGTGCTGCTCTCTAAGAATGACCACCAGGAGCTGATGCAAAAAAGATAAATCACTCTGAATTCTTGTCTTAATCATCTGCTCCATAACTTGTAGACAGGTCCATGAAATCTTGATTCAGAGCAGAATAAATAAAATCGGAACTTAGCCAGCCATCGTAAGAGAAGGTTTGGAATAGGGGAAAAAGAATTTTGTTTTGTTTTGTTTCTTTTTCCCCAAAACACTTCGGTGTTTGCAATTAACCTAGAACAAAACTGTGTGAAGGACCATTTTATCACTCTGAATTTTATTTGTCTTTCCTTCTTTTTTGTTTTTTTCCCACATGTATACCTGGAAAAATATTCTTTAGTATGTAAGTATTTAAATAAATGTTACTTCTAGGTCTTTGTCACAGTATTAACAGCGAACATGGGTGATGCTCTCAGGACTAGACGCTAGGGCTATCTTTGAGACCTGAAAATATTATCCAGTATCTATAAATATTTCTGATTCAAACTCAAAGTTTGATATTTTTTCAGCAGAGTGTTTGAGTTCTACCTGATTGGATTGGCACTTAATTCAAGTGGAACATTTTGGAGGGGGAGAGGGACAAATATTTTTTTTTTCTCTTGTTTGGTTTTGAAGTATTTGCACCAAAATAGAAACAGTGACTGAAGAGGGAAAGGACAAGAAATAAGTAAGGGTATAGCTCCATCTCCTAATTCCAGTTTATGAAATTTCAGTCCTGTGCTGTCCTCCACTAACACAACACTTGTAGCTGAGTTGCATCCTTGCAGCCCTAATGAACTGCATCAGTAAGTGGTTTGGATTTAAACCTGTAGCAAATGGAGTGTGCTGAGATTTTGATTTTGATGTGAAACATTCCACCGACTTGCTTTTACAGAACAAACCTGCAAGTGGAGCATGAAGAAGGGAGCTGAAGTCTGCTAGAAAATTAAATATTGCCACTGAAAGGACTGTACATGCTGAATTTTGTTCTAGGCGTGTGGCTGGTGAGATAGCTGTGTATTTGTAACTCAATTGGTTAAATTGTAAGGAACACTGCAGCACGGATGTAGTGCTTCCAAAACCTTTTCCAGTGTAGACAACTGCTAATGAGAGACAACTAAAAAAGAAGTGTTTTTTGTGCTAAGATGTATGAAGTGATATTTCTTAGTAATTCTCAGATATGACAGAAAGCATAATTTCCAAATATTTCTAAATTGCCAGCTGAAATACAGCCATTTGAGGCAGAGGGCTGTATCAAATAATAAATACTTCCCTGATGAACTGTCACTGAAATTAGTTTGTGTCTGAGTCAGAAAATGAAGTCTGAAGGCATTCTGCAGATGATCCAAAGTTAGGTTATAAGAAAATTGCAAGTCTTTTTCACATACTGCATCTTTAAGAGCTTATGTTCTTCACAAGCAGCTCTTAGAGGTGATGGCACTGTGGTGTACTGTTGAGAGCGTCTGGGCTGAAGTTAGAACTAGGAGAGCTGGTGTAGGAAACAAAAGTTATGAGATACAGTCATTTCAAATTTCAGATTATATCAAATTCCATCTTCACTGGCTAAATCATCCTCAAGTGTCTAATTCTTCTAGAAAAGCTTTCGATGGCTCAAGCTGAGCTGGTTTTTGTGATGGATATTAAATAATCTGGTTGGTACAAGCTGTGAAGGAGAACATGGACCTAGTAAGAAATGGAAGAAGACCATAAAAGCCATACTTACAAAATGGTGGGGACAAGGAGGCTGGGGAGAACCCTTCAGAAAGGGGTAATTCCACTCCTGCTTGTCTTACCCCTCTGGCAGCCCCAGAATGCAGCTGTCCCCTGGGTACCCACTTCAGGCCTGCCATAGCATCAAAGGGCATCAGGAAGTGAGAGAGAGCAGCTGCACGGAGGATGGATGAAAACCTCAGAGCTTTTCCCTTCGACACAAAATGCTGTCAGAATCTAACTGTCAAAAGGGCTGAAC